ATATATATATATATATGTGTGTGTGTGTGTGTGTGTGTAGATATATGTCTATCTATCTATATATATATATATATATATATATATATATATATATATATATATATTACTTGTATATCAATAAAAACATAGATATGATGTATTCGCATACGTGGACGGGTGCATATGCAGGAACTGGCATTTGACATATAATGTAATAGAAAAAGAGTTGTTTTCTGATATGTACAGTCGAATTAAGAATGCGCTCGATTTACGATATTCTTCACGCATAAAGTGATCAAGTAGTACATGCATACATACTACACATCTATACATTGAGTCAACACATCCACACTAACTATGCAGGAAAAGTTCAATCAACTGCCAATACACTTACGATTTCGGATAGTATCGCTCCCACGTTTTGCCGGCCCCAGCTGGTTTGACTGTGTTGTAAACAAATTTCTCTTTCTTTGCCTCAGCCCCGCCTACTTTGTCCGTACTATGTCCTGAGTATGTCTTCGACGTGTTACTCCCAAACCTTGTTGGTTTCCTAGGCCTCATACCTCCTGTACCTATTCTATTTTTAGCATCGCTCCCTCTATTAGACCTACCCTGTGTCTTATGTGCAGGGTTATTCGTCTGGTCGTATAGTACACTCTTAGGCTTGGCAGCATTCAATGCTACCTGTGTGTGAAACCCTCTGGCGCGTGACGATGTACATGTACTTGTCCCCCTAGATAAGCTATCGCATACAGACGTCTGTAGGCTACTACAAGTAGATGATGTGATGTATTGTGCTCGTGTTGCTTTATTATAGACTTGGTTCACTATAGCGTGAGTGTGAGCGGATGGTCGCTGTGTTATTTTGATAAACCCGAGAGCCACTCTACAGTGAGTACTGCACTTCGGTAACCTCATCATAATGCACCAAGCTGTAGATCCAACTATATATTGCCTATAAAGACCTGTTTAGATGTATACCTGTGTGAGGTTGTAATACTGGTACGGATATATGTATGCCCTTATACAGCAAGAGTGCGTACTATCCTATACCAAGACGATGTCTACATACGCTAACGTACTTCCAATAGTATGTGTAGCAACGTCCTACATACACACATATGTAAACATCTGTGACTGATGTATAATTTTACATATGTAATTCATAAATTGATGACAATGCTCGACGCGTGGTTTCGAAGGCTTCCCTGTGGCCTGTGAGGCTGTGCCCAACTCTGCCCACGTCTTTGGAGTTTATGACAAATCGACATTGGCCTTTGACATTTGATATGTGACACTTGACATTTGACAGCTGTGACAGCAAGTGAATACCGGTGCACCGTAGCCAACTGATTACACATATCTCTCTACATATAAGTATGCGTGTACACGTATTTCGTTACACTGTGTGCGACGATTAAACCCATTTCGTTACCCCTTGATAGAAACAAGCACAGTTATGATCATTGTAACGCCGAAATAGTGTCTCAATTGCTTGAAAAATGTCGATTCAGTATGAGTGTACAACATACGCCCGCATACTGATCATACTTAAAGCAACTACTTTCTGTACCTAAAACTGTACAATACTTGTGTTGGATACGTATTTGAAATTTTTAAAAATTTATCATACTGAATGTAAAGTTTAGGGCTGCTTATAAAGCATCGTTCGTGTTGGATAGGTACAAAGAGACTCTATATAAAGGTCGAGATACATAGCCTGTTCAATCGACGTGACCCGACGTATGGATAATTCAGTATCACACGAAAGTGCGCCTAACACAGCACATACCGACACTATGAGAGATCCAAACAGTAGCAAGGACGTGCACGCATCTCAAAACAGTCAAGACGATACGTCTGTTAAGCTGAAGAGTGTACACACCGCCAAAATTCTCTCAACTAAAGGTGATGACATAGGCTCGCAATTGAAAACAAGTGACGACTCACATGCCGATGCGAATGTAGAAAAAACTAAACTCACTATCAATGCATCCAACGGTCACAATACTATAAACGGTATCATTGGGGATAAATATAAGTATGTGTGTATGCTAATTATATTGCGAGGTTTACAGGCCTGGAGTCTGAGCACCGCCTTTGCGCCTGACGAGTGGTATCAGGCACTGGAGATAGCACATGTCATTGTGTACGGTAGAGGCTACCTCACATGGGAATGGATTTCGCATATAAGAGGGTTTGCACATCCGTATATGTATGTGCCTGTATTCTACACCCTCAAGTTGCTGCGTATAGATACGCCCAGTATGCTGGTGGTGATACCGCGAGTGCTGCAGGGGATGCTGGAGGGTGTGTGTGAGCTGGCTCTGTATAGGTATTTAGTTAGGTGTGTTAAATATACATGTATGAAATAATACAATACGTGCATGCATGCGTTATAAATTAAACTGTATATAGTTCTAGACATGAGCCTACTATGTGTAGATATGTACTATCGTATACGTCGGCTGTAGGGGATGCTGGAGTCTGTGAGAGAGCTAACTCTGTATAGATATGAATTATGTGTGGTTAATGCACAAGCAAGAGTTGATATCCTGTGCACATACATGGGATCTGAGCTTAGATTAGGATGATGTTTGGAAGCTGTCTTTGTATAGGTGTCCGATGATGTCTGCAATAGTATATATAAGGAATAATACGCCATACTTACACTTGCCTTGCGTTTTATCTGGCAGATAGTGCTGAGTATGAGCGTGCTATGTGTAGATAAGTAGTATCGTATATGTGTGCTAGTGAGGATATCAAGTGGTGAGTGAGCGCTGGCAAAGTATAGGTTTTTATGATGTGTGGTTAGTGTACATATAAGGATTGATACACTATACGCACACGTATGTTTTTTTATGTTTTTTTTAAGTTTGGATCCGCGTGTTCTTTTAGGCTAAATAGAAGCATCACAGTTTTTCGGTGACGTTTAACACCCACTCTCTGCTTCCGGTTGCTCTGACAAACAATTTGCAATTCAGAACTCAAACTGTATGTGCGTGAGAGTGTACGTATGTTTGTGCGTGAGTGTACGTATGTATGTATGCTTACATGCACATGACAGGATTGAGTCCAAGCTTCTGAGTGTATGAGTGTATATATGCTATGAAACGAACGATTCGCATTGGAGGTTAGCAACAATTACTACGTTTTGGATCGTCATTCCTCATACAAATGTGAGTGCTCTATCCGTGAGCGTGACTGCAAGATACAACACACCTCAGTGTGTCACCACTACCACTTATTCGAAGTCACAGACTTGTTGCGAGGCTATTTCTTCATGTATGTGAGTACTGTCGATTGGTTGTGCGTTTGCGGGGTGGCGGTTGTCTGCAAATGCACGTACCTACATGCTGAGCAAGTAGTGCCATTCAGAGTCAGAGTCCACTGGATCACCCTGTGGCATGGCTTGTTAGTTGGCTATTCAACCCCAATAATAGCAGTTAACTTTTTGCGCACGAGTTGCTTCGATCCACGTGATGGGAGTACCTGTTGTCTATGAGTCTCCCATCGCTCCCCGTGAAGACACTTAACTCGTCCGAAAAGTTCAACCATCTGCATATCAGTTGTGTCAAGTGCATGGCCCACGTGCTTGGAGACCACACGAATCGCTTTGTGCAGTTGCAGTACATTGAACACACAGTCCATTACAAATAAACCACTTGTCCGTAGGGATACTCGCCTGTGTAGGATAGATGTTGATACGTCTGTGATGGCTCGTGGAGGCGTTGCACGTGCAAGCTTTTCGTGGAGTGTAGATGGTTGCTGGTTATTGTATTCAGGCTATAGTATAGAACATACCGCCTCAATATTAGGTACAGAACTTCCAATCAGACGTAGTACTGTCAGAATGTACTCTCAAGTGCATCATTGATATATAAGGGTGCTCACGTGCGTGCCAACACATACACTATCTATATATCTGATCGTATACATTACACCAAACATATCATTTGCACACACACACATATCTTTTTCAGTATACGTAATCGTATTCATTCATGTACTTGCTTGCAGGCTGGCGTATCGTACGTTTGGGCGTGAGGCTGCGCGGATGACGCTGTTCTGCTCACTGCTGAGCTGGTCTATGTGGTACCTGAGCGGTCGCACGCTGTCGAACTCTGTGGAGATGATCTTCACAACCGTGGCACTCGATCTCTGGCATTGGCCTGGCATTGATGTGAAGCCAGATGATAGGCGGTAGGATGTATGCGTGCGTCTGTGTGTTGGTATGTGTGTCGGGGGCTGTGGGTGGGGGGGGGGGGGGGGTAGGTGTGTATTGGCTTGTGCATGAAGGTGGATAGGTAGCCACCCGAGAGGAACCGTATGTGCTCTACTGGGAAACACCTACAATCGCCTATATCTGCTATGTTGCTTTTGCCTGGGCGTTTCTGTAGGACTTACGTTACAAGGAAATAGTAACTTATTTGCACATACATATAGTGGTCATAGCCCACAATGTAGCTGTACTTTGACATAGTGTTGCTGGTATATACACATACACAACCATGCATTCTTTCCCACCTTCACATATTGTTTACTATTTTTCAGTGCAGCTAGCTTGTAGACACACATCCAGACATAGTATCCATACAAAGTATCCAGACAGCGTATCCCTACATAGTATACATACAAAGTATCCATACAAAGTATACGTACATAGTGTCTCTGTATAGTATGCCTACATCGTATCCATACATAGTGTCCCTACATATTATCCCTACATAGTATCCCTACATGGTATCCAGACATAGTGTCCCTGTATAGTATCGCTACATAGTACATAGTATCCATACATAGTATCCCTACATAATACCCTACTTCTCCGGTAATCACTCTCACACAGTTCCTTTAAAGGCGCGCTCTTTTGGGCGGCCTGTTCGTGCGTGGTGAGACCGACCAGTGCATTACTATGGGCTGCCCTGGGGCTCTATCAGCTGTGGTACACCGACCATCGGCTTGCGCTCCTAGGCGATGTTCTTTGCATTGGGTATGTGTGTGGCCGATTGGCAATGTCAATACAATACCGGGTCTCTGTTTTACCGGAATAGCTAGTGATGTGGTTTTAATAGTAGAATTGCCGAATAACTATCCTGGGTATTTTGGTATAGCCGTTCTAGTACAACATCGTTTCTCGAGTCGCTGTTTGTGGGGCATGAGTGTGTCTGTCAGCTATAAGTCTATCCGCGTTGATGTGTGCAAGAGTGTACGAGCGCATCAGCTTCAGCGTACGTGGTATCGACTTGTTCTATTGATTGGCATTGTGCCCTGCAGGGGTGTGATAGCTACCTACTCTCTTACATATGTGTTGTGTGTGTGTACAGACGGTAGGGGGCTTATACAGATTGGTCAATATCTAAGCAGTTGTGCTGTAGCCGACATGGATTGACCGTTCGTTTGTGACGCTGCACTCATCGGGTAGGGTCTGCTGCTGAATATATACAACGTGCCTTGCACGGATAGTACTCACAATATTTGCTTCAAATGCCTCTCACGCAGGTTTTAAGTATCATATGATCACGCGTAGTAGACTTTTCACTCCGACCCCTACTATTTGAAACGTGATCATATAATGAGTAAGGGTTGACCTAAGACAAATGGCAAAAAGTCCTTTCCAGTAGTGTATTCCACATTCTCTGCGGTCCGATATTCTTATAGTCAAGCGCGGCTGTCCTGCCATATTTAGCCAGAACTAACGCATACTACACTTCGACACGGCACAGGCGTCGATAATATAAAGTCTCGTAGATATGCACATACGCTCTCACGCATCAGCATACACCCAAGAATATACCTCAAACATAAAGTCGTTATGTTGCCGCATAACTCTCAAATACACATCCCTTTGGGCCACTTGTCCACTCCAACCTCACTCTCTTAGCAGACACGGCAATGTGTGGCACAGCATGCAGCATTATAGGTCAAACAACCCCGACTTTTTCAGTCTCTTTCAATCGGATACTTCAACAGCGATATACAAACGATTTACCATTGTTTTCTCCTACGCTTCCAGCGTTCCTATTTTCACGCTCTCCGTGGGCCTAGATTCCTACATGTACGGCCAGTTGGTGATTGTGCCGTGGGAGTTCGTCAAAGAAAACGTTTTGAATGGTGTGGCTGGCTTCTACGGGACCAATCAGAGCCATTGGTAGGTCTACTTCTATATAAGCTTTATATTGGTATGTCTAAATATGTAACAGCTTTGTATTGGTGGGTCTAATTCTACATAATATCAATTGAAATGTCTGATTTTGTATTAGCTCTGTATTGGTATCTAATTCTATATAGGATTTGTATTGGAATGTCTAATTATGTATTAACTTTGTATTGGTAGGTCTAATTCTATATAGGCTTTGTATTGGAATGACTAATTATGCATTAGCTTTGTATTGGTAGGTCTAATTCTATATAGGCTTTGTCTTGGGATGTCTAATCCTATATAAGCTTTGTATTGGTATGTCTAGTTCTATAGAAGCTTTGTATTGGGATGTCTAATTCTAATAAGTATTGTCTTGGTACTTTAAATTCTATATAAGCTTTGTATTGCTATGTTCATTTCTATATAAACTTTGTATTGGTGCGTCTAAAACTACATAAGAATTGTATTGAAATGTCTTTTCCTATATAAGCTTTGTATTGTTATGTCTAATTCTATATAAGCTTTGTGTTGGTCTGGATATAGGTCTGGTGTGTGCACAATATACACAGAATCGATATCATGTCTTCGGTAGCTATTGATTGATTATAATTTGCTTACGTTTAGTTTGATACGCAAGTCGCACCTCTATTTGGTCGCTGGTCTGGTTTTGTCCCGTTTTCTGTTTATTATAACGTAGTCATTCGTAGCTTGTTAAGTTCGTGTGTGGGAATCTTTATTTGCTGCTCTACGGATGTAGTGCTTGTATCCACCTACGCACACACTTGTGAAGCGGTACATCTTAATTCTAATTTTGATGACCCCAGGGTTTTATAAACCTGCATTGCTCATGCCCATATATGTGAATCTTACGTACTTGTGACAGAATGAGCATACATATATGCGTCCTGACTTGGCACAATATCGGTTGGGTGTTTTAGAATATTTAAAAGTACTAACATGTACTTAAATCAGTAAAGTGCTTGTTTTCTGGTGAATGGGCATAGTTTAGTAATGACTAAATACGCTTGCGTAGCGGGGAGGTGGATGTTTCTCATACCAACGTCTTGAAAAGCAAGTGTGAAGCAAATTGAACGCCGTTTTGCATGCCAATATACCCGGTGAGAGAACATCGCGAATTAAAATTATCGCTAGTACAAGCGGATAGGGTGACAGACTAAAGTTACCCTTTAAGGTTATGTATAGCTAGTCTATGACCTTGAGTTTGCTTGCTGACCTGCATGTTGTCTGGGGGTGTACTCTGCCGATCTTTGCGATAAGCAGCATCACCGAATGTCCCGCTATACTTTACCATGTCTACCTGGGGACCATGAACCCTGTACGGTGTGAAATCAGCTGAGCTCACAGTAGTTTAACAGTCCGTTTTTCATGTATATTCATTCTCAGGTACCTATCGTCTGCCATGCCCACTCTTCTGGCCGCCTATCTGCCCCTGTTCGTCTTAGGAGCTTGGTCGGCTTGGACGACACATCGAAGGGTATGTATGTGAGGCTTCGTCTCATGTTTTAGCACTCTTGTTTGTAGTATGTTCCATCCCGATGACATGAGGAGCACTTATGTGAGTACGTAAGGGTACATCACTTTTAGAATAGTCTTCGTGTTTAGATCGGTCTGCTGGACACGGGCGAGTTTTAGTCGTTGCAGCTGTCGAATGTCATCCCGAGTCTGTCGTTAACCGAATAAACTCAACCATGCATATACTGCGTATAATATTACTGACTTTTCAATGTATATCAAAGCACCAATAACATGAGCATTCTCAGTCTATGCTGAGCCAGGTGTATAAACATACTATGAATCATATACACGACCATATACACGACAGGGTCCACTTCTCTGTATAGCGTGGGTGGTGCTGGTGCATAGTCTCCTGGAGCACAAGGAGTTCCGCTTTATAGTCCCAATGTTGCCGCTGATGCATATGCACTGTGGCGTGGGTCTACAGACTATACGCGAGTACCTCTTGCCACCAGCAATCACCGCCACGGTGACATATTCTGCAACAGAGACAAGTGCACGCGATGCCACAGCCACGGGTGGTACAAGCAACGCAAAGGAGGTTGCTTTGCGAAGGCTTGTGCAGAGTGAACACACACGGGTACACACATACGAAAAACCAGCTCAAGCAACGCCAGACTCGAAGCGGCTGAGTAGGGGAGCTAAGGCCAGGAATGTCAGACTCTACCAGTGTTTATATTGGGCCCTGGTGGTTACTATGGCAACCAGTCAACTTCTCGCAGGGTTATACTTTACACAGGTGCATCAGAGGGGCACTGTTGATGTACTCACTACTCTCAGAACGGAGTTTGAGGCGTGGGGAGCAAAGCAGAGTGGCACGTACGCACAGTCAAGTGGTGAACCTCAAACGCTCTATGCCACATGTGAGAGTGCTCGAACAAGCCATTACGGCGGTGATGAACAATTGGTGGACACGGGCGAGGGTGTGTGCGCGGGTGCTTTGGATTCAGCTGATGTGGTGCGTGATGTAGAGGAGAGCGCGGGAGCTACTCGGGATAGAAGGCACGAGAAGAGTGCGTATGCGTGTGATCGGGCACACGTGCGCATACACGTGTGGGCTCCCTGCCATTCTACACCCTACTTCAGTCATATGCACTACGACGCTGCGATGCGTTTTTTGACATGCCCACCATACACTGCGTTTGTGGATATGACCGCCGCGGCGAACTTGAAGACAGATACGGGTAGTAGAGATGGTTTCATATCTGAGAAAACCAAGTCCATTACTGCTGAAAACTATGTGGATGAGGCAGACAGATTTTACGCTGACCCGGTAGCCTTCATCGAGGAACACTATGGCCCACGACATGGTATGCGTTAGCTACTACTGGCGTGCAATGTAGACGTTTAGTGAGTGTGCTCTACGCTTTCTTGGATGGACACAGCAAAATTGATGAAAGTTAGCAATAGCACCTCCGTATATCTGTTCCTGCACATGTTTCGCCAGATTTGTGTGTGACCAGCATCGTTTAGTGACGTATAGATTCGATTCGTTTTTAAGGCAATGCATATACTGATCACAATGATTATGGGAGACACAGCTAGATAGATATAGATTCGATTCATTCTAAGGCAATGCATACACTGATCACAATGATTATGGGAGACACAGATAGATAGACGTTGACACATTGACACTTGTTTGTGGTCCCCCGTGTGGCCCTTGTCTTATGAAGTTAAAAAGTCGCAGTCGTGAAGTTTGATTGAGCTATTGTACTGGCACTGTCTCGGTCTCCTATCGGTTGTGTATGTCCATGTGTACTTATGCATGCAACTATCACTCACCGACATTTACTGTTATGTTTTTGCGGTGAATATTGAAGAAGATTCTGTTTCACATCAAATAATTAGAATGCTGCTGCTGAACTGTCTCGTACGAAGGCTTCCATTGGTAACTACAGAAGCACATAACTATATAATAAGTGATACGACCGGGCACGACGCCGCCCACATGAGCAATAAGGTTGACAGATTCTCTTCAAATTTCTCATGCATTATAACACAGTATCATCTGTTAAGCAGGCATATCAGCCACTACATCTGGCATGCACATACATCCATATTGTTAGTTAACTACTAGCTACGAATGAAATATCAATATTGCTCTTTCGTACAGGCAAACTTGATCTATATAATCTTGAGATCAAATGCAATGATCAGGGCAGGAACATGACAATAGATCGTGCCCACTCGACCGATTTTGCCCATGTGTGTCTTGCTGAGCCAGACATGTGGGGTGGGTGGCCCACTCACATTGTCATGTTCGACGCCCTGTTGCCGCAAGTGGCGAAAGTACTAGAAGCTCAGGACTACGAACTGGTAAGAGAGATGCGTACGAAACTATGCCGCACAGAAACGTATATATACGCTTATACCGCTAGCGCATATGACTTTGATTCTATGTGAGGTGTAAGATCTACCTACTATTGGCCAACAAGGACCTTTGCCTCACTACCTATCAGTTTGTAAGGACTGCTCACCAAATGCATGAACTGAACAAACCCATTTGCAATATTATGTTTTTACAGGCACACAGCCTATTTCATACGCACATACCGGACGGGCGAGTAGGAGAGCAAGTGCTGATATTCCGAAAGACCTCTCTTCGTCATTGCCTAGACACATGACTGATTTGGGCCTCAAACATGCTTGATATACAGCACATACTACGATATATCTTGAGTTTTAATCTACGGGCTTATCGAATGGAGGGCACAGCTAATGTGGCTGTTAATACAGTTAACACATTATGCAAAGTAGCCATATGCACAGCATTGCGAAATATACATATGTATTTCCTGATTTTTTTTTAATTCTTTCGGCCCAAGTCTACAAAACTACTAGTCATCGACTACAGAGATGTTTGACTTCGTCGAACCTAGGCTGTACGCCAAACACCCCTGGCAAAAATTTCCTCATTGAGTGTATACTCACATTCATACACAAAACAATGAAAGACTTACACATAGGGCCGGAAGCATTCTTCTGTTTGATGTCGTATGGAATTCGGTCCAGATATAAAATCACACAGCGCAAGTGAACGAGAAATTTTTTCCTCTCTACATAATTGCACTTTTATATCGATGAAAATAATAAATAGGCGCTGAACAACATATTCAGTTTTCGGGAGTGCTGACAAGCGGATATCATTCATCGTGCGGGTTCCGGTGTTGGAGGTGGTTTTATCAAATAAAGCTTGTGTATAATTTTCTTGCATATGTTACTTTCCGTGTTTGTGCCACGAAGTTAGATTCGTAACCAAATGAGAAGATATAGTGTCGGCCTGTTGATGACGTGTAATCTAATTGCGAAGCGGATAAGGACAGCAAGAAAAGATACCAGAATTTTTTCTGTGGCCAATTCGCCGCTTCCCGCATATATTGTAGAAAAGTGCGACGTTCGATTTTTGGGGGATGTTCCACCTCCCTAGCCTCTAAAATATGCCAACGATAACGACCTGAACCATGAGGCGCTCGCCACTTACACATTGCCGTGATGCGACTCGTCTGAGGACATGTTGCATTTAGTGTGTTCCCAAAATATTCTAAATGTTCTGTCTGCTATGAAAATTATGTATTCGATGGTTATAATGCTTTCTACCTAAACTAACCACTTACACATTACCGTGGTGCGTCACGTCTGAGGACATATTACATTTAATGTGTGAGCTTTGACCATTCCCAGGACGTTCGAAATGTTCTGTCTGCTATGAGAACCGTATATTCGATAGCTATAATGTTTTCTATCTAACCTCCCTCTAGAATATGACAACAATTAAAAGCTAAACTATGAAGCGTTCGCCACTTACACATTGCCGTATAGTGCTTTACATCTAATGTGTGAACTTCGTCCATTCCCGAGATTTTCAAAATATCCTGTCTGTTATGAGAATCATATACTCGATGGTTGTAGTTCGAGATGAACTGTCCACTGGATATCCCTAATTTATGGTATGTGACGACATAATAAAAAAAGACAACACATAGCTTGGGCTGAGTGTGAGTGATTACCGTCACAGTGCAGTGCAGAAGTTATCGTCATTAGGGGTATGAGATTATATATAAAACCTTCCTATTGAACCTTTATTATGAGTGTCTCCTTCAAGTTTGTAAATTATACTCTTCACTTCTCTGCAATATAGGAGACCGAAACCCCACAGTATGCATACAACAGGGATAAATTCAGAGAGGGATGTCGATAGGATTTTGTGGTTATTCGTTGAGATGCTCTGCTTCTTTCAGCGGGATCATTTAGCAAAATAGTTTATAGTGGCACCCCGCCTCTATTCCTTGTGTCACAATTAGTATACAATTAAGTATTGAATGATACATTCTGAATGGCAATGCTGTCCATCTCTTATCTATTAATTATTCAAATTACCTTCGTGATTTATTTACTAAGAGAAGTGGGCCCCTTTTCAATTAAACATAGCGAATATTGTTGCATGTATACAGATCAGCTATACAGAAACACTTTATAACAAAATATCCAGACCGTCGAGTGATATCTACAAATGTTAGAGGTAGATACTATCTAGAAGAAGAAAAACTAGGATAAAAATCATGCCTATCCCTAATCCGCTAGACTGGTATGCAGGCAGTGCTTCGGAAGCGACGAACGGAGCAGTAAAGCTTTCCATGTATGCCCTCTTTTCTACGTGCGGGGACTGACTTTCATGAAGTACTTGTTATAGTTATTGCAAGGTGTCGTCCGACCACTGGTTCGCAGATGATACTCTGATGTACTTTATCGTTTGAAAATTCACATTTGCAAAAGCCTATGCACATATGAATGATAAATATCACAACATTCACGTAATCTTAGTCGTGTTTCGTAGTATCGACGGCCAAAGGTATTCGTGTCCCAATTTGTTGTACCTGATACTTTTGAGATACCCTTCATGTCGTTGTTTGATTTGTTCGACCAACAGTCAAACCCCCACTCACTTGCCATCTCTCAGGATATGCGACGGGGTCTACGGAACCCCTGCTTTATCAATACAAAATACATGTATAACATCATATTTCGTTGAGAGCTACTTTCGAACCTTGCTTCACTATGTGGTTTAAAGTGTTCCGTGTCGAATATATCACTTCAGATACAAGGTTGTTATACGCTGGTATTTAGAAACCATCAAGCACGACCCTCATCCAACCAATTAAATCCAGCTGATTAAATACTTTTAACTTTCGTTAATGTTGCATTCGGAGTTCCTTACTGTTGGGATGGTAGCCGTCCAACTGCGATTCAATTTTATAGATATCACCGGTGGTGTCATAACCAATTAATGCTTTTATCTAACACGCAACTGCTGTGTATTTTAATTGTATTTTACTGTTACATCGTTCTTGCGTGACACTGAGCACAGGTCACATTGAGCCTGATTTCAAGTAAACATCACCTTTCGTATGTCATTCTATACGGGTCAGTCAAGCCTATCCTAATCCCAAGAAGTGGTAAGAGTGCAAAAAAAAACCCCCCCGCTATGAATATTTTATATAGCCAGAATAAACGTGATTTTATCCATTCAACTTATATATGAAGAAATATGACAACGAGCAGCTCAAGTGAAAGTGGTTTATCAACCTGATTCGCAGCCAATATTAAATTGCCACAGGCCGAAGACAACGTCACCCGCGCTGCCCTCCCTGTAACTTAAACTATCCTAGCCGGATACGCAAGCCGATGTAAACTAAGAGCAGATAAATAAAAGGAATTTGGAACATAGTACGCTAAAAAAACTACTTTAGCTCGAATAGCTTCAAACAAATCCTTTTTGCGCTCGCCACCATATTGTACTATTCATGAACCGACTGTCCAATACCATTTCGGTCAAACCCACCATTGACTCGCGAGTTGACACATGTTCGAATGTATAGGGTTATTTAAGATTGTTTTATCTTTTTAAGTGAATAGTTGTCATTAGTTGAGTTGTGACGTTTGCTGTGTATGTAAAGGAGGCCTGACTTTTGGGTCGTTAAACAACGCATCGTAACGTGAAAATCCGGTGGCACAAAAATATTTACCAAATTCGTTCTATGTGTCTCGTTCCCAAAAAAAAATCATTTCCTTCTCAATAGCTATGTGTGGTTATATCTTGTTCCTATATTACATTTTCTGCATGTCGCTTCCGTGTCTTTTCTGTCGTCTGGCTGCTGTCAAGCCCTTGGTAGAGGATTTTGTCATGTCTGGCATCAATAGACAGTATTAGGGCGACTTGAAATTTGAACGAAAGAATGGATTCATTGGTCTTAGAGTCTGTTCTTTTCCCGTCTATTCTGCGTCTTTCACTGACCGCGCAGTTCAATGAACAACCCTATACATAGACCAATGATAAGAAGACAGAATACAGTTCATACCCTTGCGCATCTACAAAATCTCATGACTGGCTGTTAAACCAATATACCCCTTTCCTGTGTGTCTCGTACCATTATAAATTTATTTGGAAATTCCTGAAATTCGCATTGCCAACATTTTCAACTCAAGCTTACTATAGCTAATTTATTTGCTGATATCAGTACCTTCCATTTCACAATTACCTTCATACTTACCCATATCATTTGAAAATCATCATCAACACCGTACTCTGCCAATTTCACTAGCTCGAAATTTACATACTCGTTTCAATCAGTGCCTCCCTACTTGAATAAAAGTTATGAATTATTCTTCTGCCTGCGCATCACCTATAGTGCCTTGCTTAGCAACCCGCTGCTTCCCATGACATATCTTTAATATGTATTGAGCCGCATAAATGATCACAATCGTTGGGAGTATACGCTGCGAAATACAATACCATGTTTATCAGCGGCGATAGCACGAAGCTTAATCGTTCAATCTAGTTAGTATGGTGAAAAGAATACGTTCTTGATATCCACAGACTCGTAAAACCTCATCGATTCTTACAGCTTTCTATTTGTGGATACGCTCAGCAATAAAGTTTACTGCTTCATATTTGTGGTTACCCTAGCATTCATACTGTTTTTACCCTTTCACAATTACGTAATACGATGTGTACTCGCCAAACCATATCGTCGGGAATGACTTCACAACCGATTCTGTGCGCTATATTATTGGAATAACTCAACAACTCAGCTACGATATTAGCATACCGTTTCCTATGCCATCGACAGCCATGATAGGACATACAACCCATTATTTGATGATCACGACGAAGTATTTGCCTTCATTCTGGCTTTCGTACACCCTCCACAGCAGTGCTAAGGCACACTAAATGGCTCGATGGCACTCAACTACAAACACGAACAGAAATCTACGACGGCCTCAAACGGTATACGCCATCTCGTAAATAACAATTCCTGTATGATCGATCAATGTTGTGATATATCTGGTGCTCATTATCCCCACAAGTACAATTGCAGCAGTAATCTTGCACCCGCAACTGTAACAGGGTACCGTACCACCAGTGCTAGCTTCATGTACGAGATTTTGATGTAATTGACGAAGCTATTCTCACTTTTTTACCCACAGTCTTCACGAAGGAGATTATAATAGCCATGTGTTGGTATCGCAGGCGTCCATATACACTCAATTGTACCACTCGAAATTCCTTATACTATCGCTCGCACAAAGCCAGCGACTTTTGACGAACTCATTAACAATGTCTACCATTAATTTTGCCGCAATCTATCGGAACATGTCATCCACCAATATTTTCACTGCTATCTATCGGAATATACACTTACTTGATGTTGATGTTTGCCTCAAAGAATTTAGTGATCTGATCACTTTTAGACTGCTGTGGTAAAAATTCTCAGACAAACATATTTTGTGAGTTTACCACTTTCCAAATCATACAGCATTACCCCAATTAGACTTGGTCCTCTATGACTCGCGAGAAATTCATTTCCCATTAATGTGTTGGACACTCTAGCGAAGCTGTGATTTTACTTGCTGGTGTACGAAGACAGCAAGGGAACATCTGAAACTTGTGAGTATGATTTGATGGTTGGATCCTTGCAGAAGGGCAGCCCTCATCTTAAGAACTCATGTTAAGGAGTTCGCTCTGCGCCGCTGAGAAGTACCCCCAAAGAATCTAGTTGTAGCTATTGTGCTTGGAACTATGACAGCCACACATGTGTGTAGCCATTGAAATCAAGAAAAACATCCATTTTAGCTATTTTTTTGTATCTATACAGCAAAAATGCCCAATTTGTATTTTAA